TAGTGAAAAAAATTTTAAATAATTATTATAAAAAAAAAGATTTATAACATACTATCTTTTTTAACATATCTTTTATAACATATCTAGATTTTTAACATATCTTTTTTTTCATAATCTGTCTACACTAAATATTATAATATTATAATATTTAGTGTAGACAGGTTATGAGGCACGTATTTACATCAGTCACCATTACCTATAATTACCTCTTATTTAGGTTAGTAAGCTGATACTCATTACTGCGCATGTCGAGTTATTTCTACCCACCTCTCTGACATGAGTTAAGAAAGTTAACTCTAGAGTTAATCCTGTCGAATTTCTGAACGGCTTACTCTAAACATACTTCCGGTCATATTCGAGTTTCTGAACGCTATAGAGTTAACTCTAGTTAACTCTGAGTTAAAGAGTAAACTTTATGAACGCAGCCCTGGAGATCATTATTTTCGGGCTGTCTATGGCCGCGTCGGAGGACACCATCTCCTTGATTATCAGCGTGGCCGCCTCATTGGGCATGACGCTTGCGCCGAGCGAGATCACTACTTCTTTTCGCATCCCGGCGGGCGATGCCTCGCGTGGTCGACCGCTCGTGGCGAGGTTCACCACCATAGCGAGGAGAAATGAGCTTTTAGCTCGTGCTCGGCGGCAACAAGTTGATCTCGTCGCCTCTCGTATAAATCCATCATGGCCTGGCTCTAGGATATCCCTTCAGGAGCGTTTAACTGCCGCCGAGAGGCGAGTGTTCAATGAGGCGAGGCGGCTTGCTCGTGCTCACGGCGTTCGTTTTGTATGGATGCGTCGCGGTGTGACGTATATTCGCGTGTCCGAGGGATCCCCGTCGTTCCATTATACATCGGCTGACGAATTGTTATGTAAAGTCGGCATCGTCGCCTCGGGCTCCGGTGCTCTCGGCTCCTTTTTGTCGGGCCTCGTGCCTGTTAGTCGCTCGGATTGATCGGATTTGCATCCTGTTTGTTGCGCGTGGCTCATGTCAACGCCAGATCACTTGTTCCGCATCTTACTCAGGTCAAAGATTTCATAGCTTGTCTGCGGCCGGACATACTGGCCGTCAGCGAAACGTGGTTGCGCCATGATGTTGATTCGTCGGTCGTCTCGATTCCCGGATATTCGCTTATCCGCCGTGATCGTCCCGCGGGGAGTCGGGGGGGCGGAGTTGCCCTTCTAATCAATGACACGTTTTCTTTTCAGGAGCAGACCATTGCTCACCCTACTGGCTCACTCGTTGAGTTGGTGGAAATTATACTACACCTTAGAAAAAAGAAAATAGCTGTCTTATGCGTGTATCGCTCCCCCCACTCGCCGCTAGCGGACCTCGGGTATTTAGAGGCATATTTGTCTGAACTTGCGTGTCGCTCTGACTTTATTGTATGTATGGGTGATTTCAACATCAACATGCTCTCACCGACTGATGTTGGTACCTTGCAATTGAGATCATTGATGTCGCTTTTCTCGCTCAGGCAGGTCGTCCGTTAGCCGACCCGTATAACATCCTCCTCCGAATCATTAATTGATTTGATTCTTATTTCATCAGATGTCGGCGTCGCTGAGTCCGGTGCATGCGTGCGATCTCGATCAGCGATCATTGTGCTGTCTACGCTGCGTTGCGTTTGCAAAGACCGTCGCGTCGGTCGCGGGTCTTCCTGTATCGAGATTTAAGATCTATCTCGACAGACGAAATTGAGGCTGAACTCGATGAAATCGACTGGCTGCCTCTTTTCGGTATGGCTTGCGTCGACGAGATGGTCTCTTATTTCGAGTCCTCTCTGCTTTTCGTGTTCGATCGGGTTGCGCCGATCTCTGTTGGGCACTCCACTCGGCATTTCGCCCCGTGGATTAACACCGCTGTAAAAAAATTAATCACTCTCAAAGCTCGAGTGCTAAACAGATTTCGGCGGACTCGCTCCGAAGCAGACTGGACCTGTTACAGGGATCTCCGAAACGCTACTACTGCGGCTATCCGTCGAGAGAAGGCGGCTTTCATATCCTCACCCCTCTCATCCAGTTCTCCTCGCTGTTTCTGGCGTAACCTCTCGCTTCTCGGTGCAATTTCAACTTCCTCTCCATCAATTCCAAATCATCTACGTAACCCATCTCTCCTCAATAATCATTTCATCGACTCTCTACCAAACCCTGTTTCCGGCAGTCTTTTTTCCTCTCAAATCGCTCTTCCCACAAATTCTGCCATTTCTGATCCTTTCAATTTTACTCCCATCACCGGTGCTTACCTTTACAATATTTTTAAACATATAAAACTGACTTCCGCTGGACCCTACGATATATCAGGTCGTATGCTACTTTTATGTCTTCCACAATGCCTTGATCCTCTCCTTCATATTCTTAATCACACTTTACTCTCCAACACCTTCCCGTCGGCCTGGAAGCAAGCAGTCGTGATTTCAATTCCAAAAAGCAATAACCCGTCTTCCCCCTCCTCTCTTCGTCCTATATCTATTCCTCCTTTCCTATCTAAGTTGCTCGAACGCATTTGGTTTGATCAGCTAAACGACTTCGTTACAAAAAGCAACACTATTCCCGACAGTCAGTCAGGTTTCCGCAGCTCTCACAGCACAACTACCGAGTTACTTCACTTATCAGATACTGTGCTGCGCGGTTTCGATACTGGACTGTTAACTTCGATTATCGCTCTTGATTTCTCGAAGGCATTTGATACTATTGACCACGAATTACTTCTTCAAAAACTTCTTTCCTCCGGTCTATCTCCTTCTTCTCTATCCTTTCTACGATCTTTCCTCACAAACCGCTCTCAACGCGTTCTTCTTTATAATCCCTCTCCCTCCTTCTCTCACTCTCGAATCGTACCATCCGGTGTTCCTCAAGGTTCTATTCTTGGTCCAATTCTTTTTACACTATTCACTGCCGATCTTGCCTCCATTGCACTTAACAGTAAACTCTTCATGTACGCTGACGATGTTGTTCTACTTTACTCTTTTCAACTGTCAGATGCGTCCACGGCTGCTACAAACATAAATCGGGATCTTCACTTGATTGCCGAATGGGCTTCCTCAAACTCACTCCATCTAAATCCCTCCAAATCATCTCTGCTAATTGCAGGATCACCTTTCCATTTATCACACCTCTCCTCATTCAACATTGTCATCAATCAGTCGCAAATCCCTCGATCTTCCTCTATTAAAATACTCGGTGTTCATTTCGATTCCTCATGGTCTTTCGATCAGCACGTCCTGGTGAAAAGTCGCGCAGCCTTTCTTCGTCTTCGTCTCTTATATCTTTTTCGTCACATATTCTCAACCTCACAGAAACTCCTTATATCTCAACTGTTCGTAATCTCCTTATTCGACTACGCAAGCTCGATCTATATTCCGGCTCTGTCTCAAAAACTGCTCACTCGTGTTCAACGCATTCAGAATGCATGTCTTCGTTTTTCATTCAATGTTCGTAAATACGACCACATCTCTCCTTATTTCTCGCGCTCAAGTTGGCTAAATATTCGCCAGCATTTCATTCTCCATTTGTGCTGTCTTGTATTTCGTCTTCTGCATTCTGGTGTTCCTCGATACCTCCGAAATCTATTATACTTTAACTCTGATCTTTACTCAAATAACACTCCTGACACTCGTCATCAAGATTCCTTATCCTATCCAAGACATCGTACATCCAAATTTAAGGCCGCATTCTCTTATACCGCCACAAAATTTTACAATGCGATACCATCTTTTATCCGATTATCCCCTTCACTTCCTTCTTTCCGTTTACGTGCTTCAAAATTCATATCAACTTTGTAATACTAATATCACTGTATATAATCCAATAAGTTATAAACATTCATACACGTTCTCTCTGCCTTTTTTGTCGTACATCATACTACACTCGTAATTGTTATCTTTTATACTGGGAGGCTTCATATCAGCAGCTTTGCTGGTGCCTTGCCATTTTGTGTATACACATTTGTCTCACCAAATCTTTATAATTTTTATATGCACAATAAACTAATAATAATAATAATAATAATAATAAATACTTATACTAGTGATTTTATTTTTAGTTCCAAATAATAAAATATTCCATTGTTATTGTTACTTTTAACTTCCGTAAACAAAAAGAAAGCGCGGAGATTTAGAGAGACATCGGCCAACTGCACACACCATGTTATCCTTCCATCATAGGTAAAACATATTAGCTTCCGCGGTGTAATTATAATTTATAAATTATACTTTTTTTCATGATTAAACATTAAAACGAATTAATTTTTGCGACATAAAATATTACTTTTCGTAACGAAACCTTAAACATAATAGTTTTCGCGTTTAATAAGGTGAAACACCTTACTTTTCGCGGTTACACGTCTTTAAATGTTGGAATGCGTTATAGTTTTCGTAATATAAACAAGAAATGTGCTACTCTTCGTAGCAAAATTTTCAAACATATCTATTTTCACGATATAAAATAAAACGAATTACTTTTTGCGGTTAATCGCCTTTCAACGCTGAACGGAACGTGTTAGTTTTCATAAAACGTGTTAGTTTAAAAGGAAATTCTCTTCGTAAAATATTCAAACAGTAGTGTTCACGGTATAAAGCGAAATATGTTACTTTTTGCGACTAAACGCTGAAACATATTAGTTTTCGTAGCAAAGATCGAAACGTATGATAATATTCGTAAATTAAATTAAAACGTGAAACTTTTCGCGGAATCACGAAATATACTGTTTTTCGTAGGACAAATGAAACGTGCTACTCTTCATAGCGGGCGTCGATATATAGTTTTATTTTTTAGTTTTTTTTTTAAAGACACAATTTCAAATGATAAAAATAATTGTAAATTTCGTTACTGTTATTCAAAAAATGTTACTACGTTACTGTTACAGTTACCAAAAAAAAGTATAAACTCAGTTAATAGTAAAATTACTAAAAAAGTAACTTGTAGCTGTATGTAACTTTGTTATAAGTAACGAATTATTTCCATTCTCTGATTAACGTTTTGCTAAATGTTCCTTTCTTTAGATCGCCACATCTTTTGGAATGATGACTCAAGCTTTTATACTTTGGAAATAATTCAGTCTACTCTTGAGGATTCCGGATATTACACGGTGACAGCAAGGAATATAAACGGCTCAGTATCTTGCCGATGTACCCTTGTGGTAGATAAAGGAATTCGGGCCTACATTGCACCGGAATTTCTTCGTGATCTTAACGTAACTTACACTGTTCATTCAGGCGGGGAACTACGAATGTCGGCGCAACTTAAAGCTTATCCGTGTGTTGGCGTCGTCTGGTGAGCGATGATTGCAATTAATGATACTCACATCTGTTATATGATAACATGGTTCAGAATAAATATTTTGTTTTCTTTTTGTGGTTGCATTTTTCGCGTAGGCATCGCGATGGGTTTCGCTTACGACCCAATAGAAGAGCGATAATGACTTTAAGCCACGATGGTACCGTCCAATTCTCTTTGGCTGATGTTACTACGCGAGACGCAGGAGTTTACAGTTGTACCGCAACAAATGTAGTCGGTCAAATAGAGTCATCCACGAGGGTAATTGTCACGACCGCGATTCAAGATCAATCGTTCATTAGTAAATCAGTTGATATTACCAGTCTAGATATACCGTGAGTTCAATCATTATAATTTATCTGGACGTTCCATTATTATACATAATTATTTATTTCACTAATACAAAATTATAAATGAAATTGTTCTACTTTTAGATATTCAAAGGAACCTCTTTTTATCACGAAACCTTTATCAACTGAAGCAATCGAGGGAGATACAGTTATTATTCTTTGTGAAGTAGTCGGAGATCCTAAACCGGAAGTGATATGGTTGCGCGATTTTCTCAAGGTAAATTGTTACAAATATTTTTCTAGTTTTCCAACTTATTTCATCTACGAGACTTTTTACTTCTATTCGAATATCAATTTAATATGATGTAATAATTAGAGAGGGACATAAAATTTAGAAAAACAATTAAATTGAAAAATCAAGGACCCTTTATATAATAATAATCAACAATAATAAAAAAGAAGTAAGAATCAAAATTATAAATAAAATAAAAATACTGTCAACTTAATACTAAAGCAGAACTGATACATTGTCAAATTTTATATGATAACGAATTTTGTATTAATAATATATTTGTATTTAATTGTAATTTTGAAATTGTAACATTGAAAATGATCCGATCGGAGTCGAAACATCGTCTGTTGAATTGTAGCTACATTTTTTAATATTAAAGTTTTTGTTATATTATCGGCTCTTTGCCTTTTATTATTTTAATTGTTTTATATTTATGGAGCCTTACATTAACTATTATTTTAATGTAAAAGATATAAAAATATGATATATGAGAATAATTTTGAGAAACTTATCAACAAGGTCACAACAAATTTTAAAATTAATAATCTGTTTATTAGCTTAAATATGGTGAGTGTCGATAACAAGTTAGATTGTATTAAAATATAATATATTTAGAATATAATGATGATACATTATAACTATGAATTAATAGCGATTTGTGTTATATAAAATATATAAGGAACACAAATATATAAGTAACACAAATAAATTTTTATATTGTATAAGTAACACTATTAGTTCATAGTTACAATGTATCATCATTATACTTTATATTATATTTTAATACAATCTAACTTGTTATCGACACTCACCATATTTAAGCTAATAAACAGATTATTAATTTTAAAATTTGTTGTGATCTTGTTGGTAAGTTTTTTTATCTCAGAATTATTCTCATATATCATATTTTGATATCTTTTTATATTAATGTTACAGAAATATTGGTAATATTTGAAATTACTAATTTGTAATTTCTTATTAACAGTGTCATGTTTTTCTACAATAATTTTGTCTGCAAATAAGATACTTCGAAGTCTAAAGATGATTCAATATAGAGTCGATACTATAGTTACTGGTTATTTATACCTTTTATTTTTAAGTATTAATTTAAAGTAGTTTTTAAGCATTAATTGTAAGTTGCTTTTAATTATGATTATTTTATAATGTAGTTAAAATTAATAGATTATCTAATTATATGCTTTAGTATTAAGTAAGTTGACAGTAGTTTTATTTTATTTATAAAATTTAAATAATTAATGAAAAAAACTGATCTTATAAAAAAATTTCAATGTGTGTTTAGATTAATTAGTTTTAATTAAAAATTATAGCCAGTTGTAAAAAAAAAGAACAATGAACAAATGGTGAAATGACACATGTATCTAATGAGACTTGATTTGTATGTGACTTATTTTATGGATCAAGGTAACAGCGAAAAAATGACTACATATTAGAGCATAAGAGAGAACGTATTGTAGCCATAAGTAGGCACATTATACGCCTTTATACATATAAAGAAAATGGCATTGACATTGAATAGTTTCTTTTATGGTAACACATTACGTCATATTATATTTTTAATACAGACAAGGGAATAAGACTTAATATATATATGTATATCGTATTTAAAAAGACATTTATATTATCAATTAATGATATACATACGAATCCAAGATAAGAAACAAAAGGTGCACCGACCAAAAAGAAGACGTGTATACATATATTATGTTAAAAATATAATCGTAAAATACGCACAGATGAATATCATCCCCACTTGTTGTCAAGACCAACTCGGCTTTCTTCGCCGATGAATCAGTACTGTGTACGAGCAGCAAAACAGTCATCATGTAACTTCAGCAAACGAATAGCCGCTAAAATTTTTGACATATGACGTGAACCATTGTTCTGTGTAAAACGTGAATATTTCAATTTAACTTATGAATACTTAGTGTGTTTTTATTAAATTCACAATTTTTAGCAATTAATGAACAAGTTTTTATTATTATTCTATACTATTCACGAAAAATGTTTATTATTATTCTATACTATTCAAGAAAATTAGATTTAATTTAATGTAGAATACAAAAGTGTAAGTACGACATCAAATTATTAATTTAAATAACGTTATGTTTACAAAGTTTTAATAATTTTTAGTGAAAAGAAACAAACAAATTTTTTTAATTTATTTTATGGCGTTTTAAATCTGTTGCCAGAAGAATTCTATTAAATCCAATTTCTTTATATAAATTTTTTAAAATGTTGACATTAATAACAATAAATGTTTATATAATAATTACATTTATTATAGCTAAATTAATTGCGTTTTTTACTTGGTAGGATTCCATCCTTTATTTATGGCAAGTCGTTTTATTTATTAATAGCATAAAAAAAATTTAGTCTAATGTTAAATTCTTAAAAAATAGTCTTATAAAAATTAAGATTTTTAATAATGAATTCAAATTATGTCGTAACATAATAATATTTCCATGAATTATAAATATATCAAGATATAATAAAAATTTCGAATTTTTATTATGTCGCGATATAATAATAATTCGATGAATTAAAATTATATCGGGATCGATATAATAAAATTCGGAATTTGTTGTGTGCAATTATAGTTTATACCTATAAATGATTCCTATGATAAACGATACGATTATTATGTGTATACTATAAATGTACATGTGTATGTATATATATATATATATATGTTATGATAAAGGCCAAAAGTCCTTTATCCCTATGCCCAATTTCTTCATCTCTAGATAACCTTTATCCAGCAGATATCTCCCAGAATACAATGGAGATGTCTCTTGGATAAAGTTATCCGCAATTTATTTGGAAGTGAAGAAATTAGACATTAGAGAAGAACGTTTATTTTATAACGTCTATTTTTTGTAATTGGCAAAGAATCCTCTGCATAAATTTTAACGCAAATAGATTCTAATGTGACAAATATAGGATATGATACGCAGATGTAAGATATGATTAGAATTTAAAAGTTAAAGATTATAGTTGTATTCATATAGCTGAACACATATTAAAGTACATATTTTAAAATATTAAAATATATATCGAGAAACAAGAATTATGCTTTACTCATGTAGTGTATTTAATCAGAGCATTTGTTCGACTTTCGCTCCCTATATGGACTAGAACCGTGGACGAAGACATCTCTCTCTCTCTCTCTCTCTCTCTCTCTCTCTCTC